CAGGACGCCGGTGCTTCATCCGGGGCCGCGGGCCCGAGCGGGGCGGCAGCGCGCAAGCGCCGCAGGCGCGGAGACGCGCACGGCCAGGAGCTGGCCGCCTGGGCAGATAACTGTCCCCGTGTCGCCGACTTCTGTAAGCGTGGCCCCCCCGTAATTTCCCCGAGACCTGTCTGCGAGCTGCAGGCCCACTTTGCAGATACGGAGGCTGAGGCAAAAGAGGTGGCAAGACAAGGTCACGGGGTCTGAGAGGTGGAAGAGGCAGAGTCAGAGGCTAGGCAGAAGGACTGAAGTCCCCACGATCAAAGGGCATCAGCGGTTCAGGATGGGTACACGTTCCTTCTGGGGTATGGGATCAGGGAAGGAGGAAGGGAGTTCTTTGGCTTACTAGCAGAGCCAGAGCATAATAAAACAAACACCCACGTTTTAAAAATATAGATATATTTATTTGTCTTTAACAAAAGGAAGTTCAATACTGATAGGAAGATGCAAATTTGTCCTTTCATGCATTTATGGAGCAAAATGCTAACTTGTTCACTGTCATTTCCCCCCACAGGGAGCTGAGCCCCTAGATTACTAGGCTGACCCTAAGAACCTAGCCTTCTTGTTGGATTTTCCCATCAAGGAACAAGTGGAACGTTGTAAGTATTTCTTATAATTCTAAACCAAAGCTCAGCATCAATGGCCTGTCACAAAACTATTACTCCAAAGTGCCTTATTTCCATCATCTTGAATTAAGATTTCTTAATAACCTTCCTGGAGATATCCCATACGGCATGCAAACAAACCCTGCTTTAAAATTTTAACAGAGAAATTTGTTTTTAAATGCAGACTGCAGAATAGTTGTAGAAGTTAGTTTTTGTCCTTATTTTCCCAAAAGAATCAGGCTCTAAAATGTCTGAATATTTAATTCATAACCATCATAAATTAACAGTGCTATAGATATTCTGTGCCTTATTAAACTACTGCAGGTTGAATGTTGAGACCAGAATGTTATAAAACACCCATTCCAGAAACCTTATTTTCCCAAAAGAATCAGGCTCTAAAATGTCTGAATATTTAATTCATAACCATCATAAGTTAACAGTGCTATAGATATTCTGTGCCTTATTAAACTACTGCAGGTTGAATGTTGAGACCAGAATGTTATAAAACACCCATTCCAGAAACAACAACAGAGTAAGGTGAGTCCTCAAAGTCCTATCCGCCATGGAACACTCTTTGCACTCCTTAGCTGACTGTGACTAGCACCCCAAGTGCCATCTCCACCCTTGCAGGATGAAATCAAATTCTACTTTAATGAAGAAAACCCTTGGGTTTTATTTTAGGACTCCATTAACACATGGCAGTAGACATCAGAATGAAAACGAAAAATGTGCCCATCATGACATTTATCTTTACGAAAATAAACAGATTTTTTAGCATCATCCAGACAATTGACCATCTTTCCTCTGGATATTTGCTATCAAGGGAATGCAGTATGTCTGAAAAATTGTATACATAATAGGTCTTGGCAAATAGCTTAAGCGCGAAACAAAACAGAGCAGCCATTGTAGTAACATGACACTGGAACCAATCACTTTATAAAGAAATAAAATTTCCCCTTGTGTCTAAAAAATACCATATCAAACTAGATTTCCAGAGAGTTCTTTCACAAAAGTTAGGATTATTAGGTTTTTTATATAATTACATTTTATATAACTACTACATAGATTTCAACTGAAAAATTACTCTTGACTCTCTGTTCTCTACCCTGATAAGAGATGTTAATTAGAATTAAAAAGTGGCTGCCATGACAATTACCAGTGGGAGCAGTAAAAAAATTACAGCAGATACTATATGTCCCTCACTTACTAATCAGTTAATAGTGACTGAAATCTTGGGTTTGCTAGGAATGAACTAGTTACCATTATTTTTATGACAGATCCTTGGAGTAAGGTAACAAAAGTGACAGCTTGTGGGGGACATCAGCTATAAGTGAGGAGCAAGTTTGAAACCTAAATAGCATCACCTGGATTTCATATTCACCCAACAGAAGTGCCCAACTTACACCTTTTTGGGAAAACTTAACTTTGAGAGCAGAATCATTTTCAAGAATTTCATCAGCATTGTTTTATTTTTGACAATTTACTATGAGGGACAAAAAGCAGTAAATCCAAACTGCCTTTAGGTAACATATCATCAAGTAGCAGCACAGAATCTGCTATAATTAAAAAGGTTTAATTTTAGAGTCACAACTATTTCATATATCAGTTCATGCCTCTCAGCAAACAGGCTTTGAAATTACCGGAAAAGATACGCTTAAATTCAGTGCTACCATAATCTCAGCTTGTAATGAAAGTGCCAAACCGCTACCACTAAACAGGGTAAAGGAATATGGTGACAAAAAAGCCTTTTGAGGTGTTTTACTCAAAATTTTTAAAAAGTGAAAATACTTCAGATTTCTTTTTGAAAATAATAATCTAAAATCAATTAAAGTAAAATATGAAAAATGACCATAACTGACAATATGGAATAGATCGAAATGTTCAAGAGGACTCAAATTCATATAAAACCAAATGTCAATAGATGAATTTAAACTAAAGATGATAAATTAACGGCTTAGTAAGAATTAGTTTTCAACTGATCTAAACAGTGTTTGGAAGTTTAAATTAACTCTAAATACTTTTATCAGACCATTATTTAGGATTAGACCGAAAGTAAAAAATTATACTGTTCTCAAGGATAAGTACAACCTCTTCACAGTAAAATATCTTAATTTAAATTTTGTTATTAAAATATACAAAATACTACTTTTTACACTTCCTACAGTCAGTATAAACCCTTTTGGTTCAGGAACAACAGCCAAGATGGTCATTAAGTTCAAATCAGATGCATATTACAGCTTCCACAGTCACACTGGGTTTTAAGGCTCAGTATACAGTATCTTTCCAAACAATTACCATAATGGGTTTTATGTAAGGATAACAGCATTAGAGTCTTTAAAAAAATATATAAGTGGGATAACCTTTTGTATGTTATTTTATCCCATTTTCCCCCATTATTAAAACAAGACAAAACTGTAAAAACAATCCTCTACTTGTAATTCTAGATAGCATACCTTAAAAAATGTTTGCATATTTTTAATCAAACAGAATAAATGTGAATCTTTTGATTATCGTCACTACATTTTTTATAAAACTATGCTTAACTTCAGCTGTTGGAAAATATTATCTGACAATTTCAGATTAAAGATGAATTCCTTGTTTTTCAAATAAGGTGAAAGAAATCAAATATCTAAGACCATTTTCAATTAGCCATTCAAAAATTAGCTTCTCTCCCCCAATCCTATATTTTAAAAAAAACTTTAACATTTGGCATTAACTTATATTTGCTCATCATAAAAACCAAAAGAACTTTATATATCTGAAATTGGCAAACTTTACAAAATATTTAATATATGAGGAAGAGGTATATCTTACAAAATTATTTGGCTATATCATAAGGCAATCGATAAAGACAGAATTTTTCCTATCATAAATCTGACACAAGTGAAATTCTATAACATGATAATTCTCCATATATCTGAAAGCTTGTTGGTTACAGCAACATGATCATGCCACACTGTCGTCATTATTGAACTTTGATGAAAGTAGACGGAATGAAAAAGGAACAAATTTGGTGCCTGCACCAACGTAGAATTTGTTCTGAAACTCTACCCTAAAAAAAAAAAATCCACATATTAATGGAAGGTTGGGAGATAACATTCCTACGTTTCTTAAAACAATGATAATTCTCCATATATCTGAAAGCTTGTTGGTTACAGCAACATGATCATGCCACACTGTTGTCATTATTGAACTTTGATGAAAGTAGACGGAATGAAAAAGGAACAAATTTGGTGCCTGCACCAACGTAGAATTTGTTCTGAAATTCTACCCTAAAAAAAAAAAATCCACATATTAATGGAAGGTTGGGAGATAACATTCCTACACGTTTCTTAAAACTTTTGATGAAAGTAGACGGAATGAAAAAGGAACAAATTTGGTGCCTGCACCAACGTAGAATTTGTTCTGAAACTCTACCCTAAAAAAAAAAAATCCACATATTAATGGAAGGTTGGGAGATAACATTCCTACGTTTCTTAAAACAACACTTATAAGTTCAAAAAAAAAGCTACTGGGCTGAAATTGCTTCATTCCATACATGCTTTTGGCACAAATATTTTGACTTAGATAAAATCCCACCCCGACCCCGTGTGGGTTTTCCCAATGTGCAACAGAAACGTTAACACAGCATGCCACATCTCAGACTCCCAGACATAGAGAAGGAACATGCACAAGTACTAAGAACCTCTCTTCTCTCCACTTAGGTAACTGGATGCTCAGAGAAGTAATCTAATATATACTATAAAACATGACAAAATATGTCAGAAGTATTTTATAATCCAAAGTGAATTAAAATATGAAACATACATAATTATCCTGCAAGCACACAACCTGCTTTCACCTGTCAGCGATAACAGGTCAGAACCAAAATACAATTTTAACTCAGAGGATTTGAATACAGATCCCAATGTTAAAAAGGGAAAAACTAGCCGAAAGTAAGCATTAGATTTTTGTGGGATTTACATACATTTTGGAGGGTTATATTTTTTAAAATAACAGCTCCAAGGCTAATTTCAAACTCACCAATGGAGCCGTATGGCATGAAGAAACGCAGAAAGCCCTTCCATGATCAAAAGGATGAAAACTGTCAGAACCGCAAAAAGCGCAATAACCGGGAGCAGCAGCAAGACCCCGTACGTCCTGTCCACACGAAGGCCCACTCGCATCAACATGGCCCACAGGACATCGGATAACTCTGAAAAGGAATTCATTTTGCGGAGTTCACTTTTGTTTATGTTCAATGAGTCACTTCAGTGAGCTAGTTGGCGTGGGTTTCCCTCTGACAACTCTGAATTGTCATCCCATAAAAAAAATACATGCTTATATTATATATATAAACTGCTTCTCGTGTACAAGTTTTTTGGGTTTTGTTTTTTTACAAAAGGATTTTTATTAAATGAAAAAAAATCTGGTGAGTCAAATATGAAATATACAAAAAATTTACATCAGATCTCTCAAAGAAGTAAAAGGCCACCAAGAAAAGTGATGCCCTTATGTCATGCTGCCCACAGTGGGAGGTCATGGCCGGTGCAGCCCAGGCCGTGTGGTGTGGACCCTGCGCTGAAGCCCCAGGGCACCCACGGGTCACGATGCGTCATCTGAGGGATGCAGGGTCAGCTGGGGCTCCCGGCTTGCCATGTTCTGGGCATATGCACTGTTCTGGTCCATTTAAAACTCCTTTAAAACTAGATGGCTTTAGTTGTGACAAAGCACAAGACCCCCCAGGGTCTCGCTGCATCAGTCTCTATGTCCTGTTGGATCCCCCCAAAGTCTTCACCCTAAATAATATGCTGGGTACTTTAAAGGGGAAACACCTGCCCACCCACCCCACTACATGACAACAAACCATAACCCAGCCCTAGGGTCCGCTAAGCTCTTTTGGTACACACAGTGACCTCCTTTAACACTCTATCACTTAAAAAAGTAAACTTTCCTATAGTAAAACTTCTTAGCAACACCTATTTCTGCAAAATAATGTTTCTGTATGTGGCAGTCTGCAAAATACACACATGTTTCTGGAGAAAAAGAAACCAATCCGAGGGCTGGCAGAGGGAAGTCATGGGTTAAGTTCCTTGATCATCTCAAACACTGGGAAAGACAGCATTCCAGAAAAATCAGAGGCCCTCCTCCCAAAGGGAGATCTTGCCTCAGACTGGGGTCAGGTTGGCTCCTTCCCAAAGCAGCACTGGACCAGGCAGGGGAAGCCAGACTTCCAGTCCCAGCCCTGACACCAACAGACTAACTGACCTGAGTAAACAATGACCTTTAAGGGGCTTCAGTCTCTTTCTATGCAAAATGGAGATGATGGACCACAGGGTCCCCTCCAGCCACAAATTCTAGACCTTTGGCTATGCTTATAAAAATATCCGTTTAAAAAAAAAAAACGCTCTTATCCCTCCAGCCACAAATTCTAGACCTTTGGCTATGCTTATAAAAATATCCGTTTAAAAAAAAAACGCTCTTATCTGGCGGTTTTCACAAGTACAAACAGCCCTTGTTTTGTACAGTAGTGCAGAAGTGTAGAAATGACCATGCAATTAAAACTATCTAAAGCACCCCTATTAATCAATGGGAAAAATTACAATTATTCTGTGACCTTTAAAAATTCTTCTCAAAACATTCAAAACTATCTTACTGTGGATAATTAATGTACAGGGAAATGGAAAAAACAGTAAATCTATTTTGAAAACATTAGAAGCACTGAGTATTAAAGTGCTTTCTCTGTTTAAAAAACAATTTATCAGGGGTAGTTTGAAGAGTGCCTGTCACCTTCTCATTGCATAACTTGGCAAGTTTGGTGACTTGACACAGAGCAAGCATCTTCTCTGATACTTGCCAAACTGTCATATTCTTCTCTAAGTTTGGATCCTCTTTCAACATTATATCTTTCGCACCTTCAATGTCCTGAAATACCTCCAAGCATCGCATCTTCTGTCACATCTGCATCTTCTTCACACAGCCACTGTCCTCCTCATCATGTCCCTAAGCTCACTGCACCAAATTCCTCTGGGTGCAAATACAGAGTCTCCTGAATGGCAGCAGGGTCAGCATTTCTGCGGTCAGCTGTTTTTTTTTAACTCCATTCACACCCCATTCAAATTTCACTTCGAGCATTATCACTTTTTGTTTCTTTGCTGCGCTTTCATCTTTGTTGGCCAATTCTTTCTTTTGATTATGCATTTTTGTAAAACATCCCAGGGGTTTGCCACTGGCCAGCAAGGAGGAAACACAAACTACACACTTTGCTTTCTGTGCACAAACGGAACCACAGATGCACAGTGCCCAGTCCAACAGACTCTGAAAGGTATGATGTGACCGACCACTGACCATGAAACTCAAGTGTGTTATTTACAGGATTCATGGACTAAAGAGCAAGCAGTGAGTGTGTACTTTACACACGTCTGTCCTTTGGTGTCCATGGGGGATCAGTTCCAGGACCTCCCGCAGACACCCAAATCTGCAGATGCTCAAGTCTCTGATAAAAAATGATGTAGTATTTGCACATAACCTACACACATCCTCCCGCATACTTTAAATCATCTCTAGATTACAGTACTTATAACATCTAATACAATGTAAATGCTATGTAAATAGTTGTTATACTGTACACGGGTAGTTCAAAAAGTTCATGAAAAGATTCATATTATTTTTTAATTTTACTTTTCCACAAACTTTCTGAAGGACCTTCGTTTTGCTTAGGGAATAATGACAAGAAAAAAAGCCTATACATGTTCAATACAGAGCAGACTTTTTTCCCTGAATATTTTCGATCCGAGGTTGGTTGAATCCATGGACGCAAAACCCACAGATACAGAGGGTCGACTGTATACTGTGGTACCTGAAATTTGAACCATGTTTTTGGGGGATGAGTGTTATTCAATCTTTTGTGCATCATAGGAACCATGTGAAGGGAGGACCACCTATAATCAAAACTATTAAGCAGCACTGTTTTAGGACTTGCTTGAAAGAAATAAACACTGATACTTCATAAGGCAGATCTGAATAAAATAACAGTAACAACAAAAACATAGCGGTGGCAGCAGAGAGTGACAGTGTCTATGCCAGAGGTTCTCCAGCCTTCTCAGTTCTCAGTTGTCTTTTCACAGCACCCTTCGGCCAAAAGAAACAGCCAAGAGAAACATGCATGAAGTAGTTAAGTCCAAACAACTTAATAGCACTAATCACACAGGAATTGAAAGACAGTGCTTTGCTGCCCTCAAATAGAGAACATCCCACAGTGCCTCCTGTGAGTTCACCATGGTGCCACAGGGTGTCTCAGCACAGAGTCGGGGAACTGCAAGTCTAAGCCAAAACTTACGTGCATGAGCCAGACTGAGCGCCCAGAGCCTCAGGTATGAAGCGGTGTTGGAGATGCATCCAAGACAGTACTCAATGGAGTGAATTACTTGGGTCATTAATATTTCTCCAAAATTAAACTGAGAGAGATTACACAAGTGTGTTAGATTCGTCATATCACATGAACACTTCCACAAGTTAAGTTTGTTCCACTTCCTGGGGTACAACAAACGAACTGCCTTCTGGAATGCTGGTGAGAACACACCATGGTGTGAGGTGCATTCTGCTCACAGCTCCGCCCCAACCAGCTCGATGATCACAGAGCTCACCCGCCCAACTTCCCACCCTCATCACTCCCCTTCTACCTCAGCCTCAGTTCCCCCTATGTAAACTGAGGGGGCTGGACTAGAGAGATGTGATTGCCACAACTGCCACACCTTCGCCAGCCCAATGACACCCCTGAGCTAGTCAGTCATTACAAAACATCTAATGATAAAGTGGACATTCTCCAACCATAAGACTAGAAGACTATTATTGAAAGTAGGGGTTTAAGAGGTAAGAGCATTCTAAATAGAAAGCTGGAGAGGGGAAATTATAAAAGGGGTCCTGGTAGTGAAAGGGCTGCAAAACACTGGGCGAGATGACTCTAACGTTCTTTCCAGCTCTGCTTTCTGTTTTCCTATGCTCCTGTGAAGTTAATTATTAATCATCCCAAATTAAAATTAAAATACTGAATTACATGATAATTACAAAATATTGATTATAAGAAATTTTGTTTAGTCCTTACTAAATGGCCAAATAAAGTTTCCAAAGAAATAAGGCAGCCAGAGTCATGGACATGCTCAATTCTGTCTGCCCAGGATGCGCCTCCCTTCCTTGGGGGAACTCTTTCTTCCCCTGTCCAACCTTATACCGCTAGTCAAAGCAGTTGTGGACTGAACTGTGTTCTTCCGAAATTTTTATGTTGAAGCCCTAATCCCAACATGACTATATTTGGAGATAGGGCCTTTAAAGAGGTAACCGAGATTAAATGAGGCCATAAGGGTGGGGCCCTAATCCAATATGACTAGTGTTCTTATAGGAACAGGAAGAGACACACCAGGAACGTGATGCACAGAGGAAAGGCTATGTGAGGACACAGCCAGAAGACGGCCATCTGCAGCCAAGGACAGAGGCCTCAGGAGAAACCAACCCTGCCGACATTTTGATCTTGGACTTCCAGCTTCCAGAACTGTGAGAAACAAGTTTCTGTTGTTTAAGGCATCCAGTCTGTGCTATTTTGTTATGGCAGCCCCAGCAGACTCGTCCAGGGATGGCAAGTGACCCTAGCCAGGCCAATCACAGTACATCCTTGGCATTCTTCCTAACAGCAGCTGGTGCGTAAGAGCACTTTCCTCTCTGATTCCAAGACTGAAAAAAATAAGTCCAGGACTACCTGCAGCCATGGTTCCATCATAATGGGGCCAACTAGTTTCAGAATATAAAGCAAACTCACAAAGAAAAAAAAACAACCAAGGGCTCTTGGAATTGGAGATCCAAAAAATGTAATCATCTTCCTGAAATCAACTCAACTTCTGTCCTGTCATGAGCCAGTAGATTTCCCTTTGAAATTCGTGTGAATGGGGTCTCTATTTCCTAAAACTATAGAAAAGTTCTGGCTGATACAGGAATCACTTGAAAGCAATCTCAATGGCACCATAAGTCACTTCAATCATAACTTATAATATTAACACTGTTAAGTCCCAGTGTCAAAGTGAAACAACAAAATAATAAGCCAAACTCTTGTATTATGATACCAACTGTATGGCCAAAACAGCAATTGGCAAGCTTTGAGTAACCATTATTTTGGGGGGGTTTTTTAGGTTATTGATTATTATCTTTTTTTTTGGGGGGGGGTCCAGTACAGAGATCCAAATCCTTGGCCTTGCTATTATAGCACTGCGTGCTAACCAACTGAGCTAACTGGGCAGCCCCCTAATTACTATCATTTTTATCACAATGGTTATCTCTATGAAAGCTTGGTGACTTATCTAAGTTTATCAAGAGCAACTGGAAAGATTACCTCTTCACATGTCACTTCTCTGCATCCATCTTCCATCTGGTTATTTCCCTCTTCTATATCTTGGCTTCCCAGCAAAGAAACCTCTTCCTCACTGTCTTTCCTGACAAGTGTGTAGCCACTCTTAACAGCCAAGAGAGACAGTCAGTGCCTTCAAAATCACAAGGCGTGACAAACCAAAGTTATACAGCCCTTTTGTTTCTCTTAACAATTCAGCTCTTTGGGAATAAAAATGTTCTTAAAAGAACATGAGTACTTCATTAGGATGGCTATTATAAAAAAAGCAGAAAAAAGCAAGTACTGGCAAGAATGTGGAGAAATTGGAACCCTTGTGCATTGCTGGTGGGAATATAAAATGGTGCAGATGCTATGGAAAACAGTCTGGTGGTTCCTCAAAAAACTAAACATTGAATTACCATATGACCAAGTAATTCCACTTCTGGGTTTATACCCAAAAGAACTGAAAACAGGGATTTGAAGAAATATTTATACACCCATGTTCATGGCAGCATTATCCACAATAGCCAAAAGGTGGAAACAATGCAGGTGTCCATCAGCTGATGAATGGATAAACAGAATGTGGTCCATCCATTCAAGGAATATTATCCAGCCTTAAAAAGGAAAGAAGTTTCGACACATGCTACAGCATGGATGGACCCTTAAAGACATCATGCTAAGTGAAAGAAGCCAGACATAAAAGGGCAAATACTGTATGATTCCACGTATATGAGGTCCCTAGGGCAGTCAAGTTCACAGAGACATACAATAGAATTGGTGGCTGCCAGGGGCTGAAGGAGGAGGGAGTGGGGAGTTGTTGTCTAATGGGGACAGAGCCTCAGTTTTGCAAGATGAAAAAGTCTTGGAGATGGATGGTGGTGATGGTTACACAATCATGTGAATGCAGTTGATGCCACTGAACTGTACACTTAAAAATGGTTAAAATGGTAAATTCTATATTATATATGTTTTACCACAATTAAAAAAAAGAAAGAGGATGAAAAACAAGACATATAGGAGAACAGTCCAGAAAGAAATTCAACAATATAGTAACTGGTTATAACTGGGTGGTGGAACTTAAGGACACTATTTTCTAAATTTTCTATAATTCAGTTACATTATTTCAGTAAAAAACTCTTTAAAGAAAAAAATTAAGAAGTAAGAATATGGAAAGAAGCTTTTTAATTATGACAAGTTGTGCTGAAGGAGTGACTCCTAATAGGCTTGTTCACACAGCAGGTCCTGTTTCCACAAGCCCAGGACACGGCAGACTCTTCTATCAGCCTCCATAGAACAGGCAACATCAGCGTTCTAAATACAGCAAGCTGTGGCTTTTAAATCAAGAGACTGGGACCCTCTGAAAGGTGTTTTCTACACCAATCCTTATAGAACTAAAAGTAGACTTTGCTCACAATTCACAAACATGCATCCAACCTCACACTTACCCGGCTTACTCCAAAGCAACTGCGCCCATTGTGCAGCCACAGCAAAAAGAGTGGTTTTCCCAAGAAGAGGATGGGGACAGACAAAGCTGTGACAACTAGCAACACTCTCTGGACATGCTCCTGTTAGTGCAGAAAGAGATAAAATCGATTAAAAATGCAAACGTGTGCCAACAGTGTCATTAGCACAGAATTAAATTAGTAAAGATCAAATAGAATGTCTCTATGCAAGGAACATTAAATAAATGTAAGCCAAGTCATATTTGCCAATGGATCTTTTTCCCAAACTCACAACTGAATTCTGTAACTAATAAATAACATTAATAATATCATGGTAAAATATTATCTTGTTTTGGATCAGTAAAGAAATTTTAGGAAAATTCTAAATAGAGTCAAACTCTAGCTAATCATTTTCTGAAAACACTATAAGTAGAAAAATGGAAAACCAAGTACAATACTTTTTTTTATATTCTTGGTTCTGTTTTTTTTATTATTATAAAGACTACTGAAGAAATGTGAGCATGTAGTAAGTAGTTTACTTCTACACACAAAAAACACTGAAATAGCATTCAGAACAAAACCAAAAATACTTCCTTAGAAAGTCAGGAGATTTGCGTTTACTTAAAACTAATTCAAGGGCAAAACACACTCCTGCTGACAGAGCAGCTTGTATAGCTTTAAAGGATCTGGACCAGACACTGCACTGCCCTGTGCTGATCACTCTCTAAGGCTGATCCCCATGATAACAAGAGTTCCCAGAGTCACATGCGCTACTCGGGGTTGTACCGTCTATGCACCATCAACACAATTCAGTCCTTAAAGTGCCAAGAAAAGTGAGGCCACAGGCAGAGCCACATCAGAAGTGCTGGGCTGTGGAGTCAGGCAGACGTGGGTTAAAATCCCAGCCCTACTGGCTGCAGAGTGGCCAGGCCTGCCCTGAGCTACCAAGCCACCGGTCATCATCAGTAAAATGGGACACCACCCCCTACCTTGTGGGGCTGTGAGAATTAAGAAAGAATAATCAAGGAAAGTGCACTTTCAGGTATATAGTAGGTGCTAAATAAAGGTAGTTCCCTTTACTGATCTTTCTGACCACAGCACCTATGCCCCACTGAACTCCTTTGTACTTATTTGCATCTATATTATTCTACAAAGTTTCAATAAAATAATGATGAAATACAATTCTTAAAAATCACGAATGGGAGAAATATAAATAAAAGTAGAAACTTGAATAATTCAAAAAGAACACACACACACGTCTCATAAACGAAGCCCAAAGTTCTGTAAGTTGAACTTCAAGTCTGACTTAAAACTTTCTAGTAGTCAATGGAATGTGAAAAACAAAACCAAATGCTCGTTTCACAGAATCAACAAGATTAAAAACAAAAACAAGGCTCAGGAGAAACACAGGTTCCCACACTAACAATTTAGAGGTGTCCCCATCCACCCTCCCCGATGGCACACAACAGGGTGCGCAGCATCTTCCCCATTTCGCCTCGGGCAGATACTGCAGCACCTAACCCGGCAGAAAGACCCTCTACGTAAAATAAACGCGACAGTAAAAGTTAATGTTTACTGAGTATTTGGTATGTGCCAAGCACTTTTTTAAGCACTTTGGACATAACAGCTCTACACTGTTTTTAATCCCATTTTACAGAGGAGGAAACTGAGGCACAGAGAAGTTAAAGAATCTGTTTAAAGTTCCATCTTGAGGAAGTGGCAGAGCTGGGCTTCCCAACAGGGTGGTCAGCCCTCAGAGCCCACATTCGGATGTCACACAAATGCACAATTATAGAAAAGTCATTTTTTTGAGAGGGCCTGGGTGCTGTGGTCCAGGTGCCCTTTCTAAATGGGGGGCCGGGGCAGCCTTCTGCATTTTCTTCCCACAGTTTTGACAGCTACTGAGAGGGAGCAAGCTGGGTTCTATTGCCTGACCAGAGCCTCCAGCCACCAGTACAGTGTACAGAGCAGGACTAGCACCTTCTGGTGACAACACACATAAAGAAAACTTCCTAGGTCTGTGGAAATCTCCTTCCTCATTCTACTGGTCAGAATGGAAAGGCTATCAGGAAAACTGCTGCTAAGTTCATGAGGGTGGAATATTACCTACCTGCCCTCGGTAAAGACCATTTGTCTCACTAGCTGGGAATAAAAACATGTTGATAAATTCAATCAGAATGCTAGGAGCAACTCTGGAGGATTCTGCTGAAAAAACCAGCCACTTATAAACAATCATAAATATAAGGTATCCAAAGATGCAGAGCATGAAGAGAAGTTCTGGGATGGAAACCAAATAAATATTGAACTTCTTCCTGAAGTGCCTAGAAAAAGAAAGTAATCAATCAACTCATGAACAAGATTAGCCTAAGTTAAAAAGTAAAGAGAAAATTAATGTGAAATTCTTGTGACTAAAAAAATACAGTACCCCCACCCCCACCCCCACCCCCAGTTTAAGTACCCATGGTTAACCACAGGTTCGAAAATATTAAATAGAAAATTCCAGAAATAAACAATTCCTAAGTTTCAAATTGCACACTGTTCTGAGTAGCGTGATGAAACCTCACTCCATCTTGCCCAAGGTGTGAATCATCCCACGTTCGGCATCTCCACGCCGTCTCCACACTACCTGCCTGTGAGTCGCTTAGTAGCCGTCTCAGTTACCACACTGACTGTCGTGGTATCCCAGTGCCTGTGTTCAAGGGACTCTTATTTTACTTAATAATGGCCCTAAGGCACAAGAGTAATGATGCTGACATATCATCACAATTGCTCTGTTTTATTATTGTTGTTGTTAATCTCTTACTGGGCCTAATTTATAAATTAAACTGTATCATATGTATGAATGTATAGAAAAAAAAACATAGCACATATAGGGTCTGGTACTATCTGCAGTTTCAGCATTCACTGGGGGTCTTGGAACATACTACCCCTCACAGATAAGAGGGGGACTGCTGTGAAGCTTATTTCAGTCAAATATCATTCGTCTTATGATGACTCATACTAGTGTTTCAGATATATCCACAAAGAAAAGAGATGTGAGGACAGTAAAAATGACTCACATTTTTGTGGTCAAACCCCACTCAAACTTTCTTCCTTGGTCTTTTACCAGAAACATCCCTTTCTTTCAAGCCAGAACACAAATTCTTTAAAAAAAAATTTTTTTTAAGTTTTCTCATTTGTAAAAATAAAAAAGGAATATGACAAAAATCACTTCTGGAAATAAATATGAATTTATATGTTGCATGACTTCCCCACTTGAATGTAAGCTCTGTGAGGGCAAAAACTTTTTTCTGTCCTCCTCACTGCTGAATCCCTAGTGACTACAACACAATATGTGCTCAAAAAATATTTGCTAGGGCCGGCCCGTGGCTCACTTGGGAGAGTGTGGTGCTGACAACACCAAGTCAAGGATTAAGAGCCACTTACCGGTCATTTTTAAACAAACAAACAAAAAAAAATTTGCTGAACAAATGAATCGCTGAAACCACAAAAAATAATCAAAATAATAAATAACTAAATAAATAATAAAAACAGAATTGTATACTACAACACCATATTGGTTGTCCTTTACCCAATAAATACAATCTATCATCAAAAAAGCAAAGAAATGCAAAACTTGGTTAATAAACATTGCTTTTAAAAAAAAAATCTGTACTTACAAGTGGTTAAATATTCCCAGAATGACTCCAAAGGTCATGTGAATAATTCCTAAAATCACAGACATTTTCATTTTGAAAGAGTTTAGAAAAGTAAGGCGATTTGTGGCCAAGTTCCAAATCTAAAGATCGAACAAAATGAAAAAAGAAATGTTTAACTTCCTTCAAGAGGTGATACTTGAGAAAGTTTCTGTCTTAAATCAAAAGGCAGCTCTAAATTTAAAAAGGAAACATTCAGACATTTCTCCTGATGCTTTCAATCTGAGAACCATTGATTTTCTTAAAGCAGGGCCACAGACTGTTAAAAAACAATCCCATCGATATAAAGTTCAAATGAAACAATACAGCTTTAGGGGAGGTGCTTAGGAAGTAACCAAAAGAAAAGCCACAGACAGAGAAACACAAAGTTCAGAGAACACAGGTTCCCTCCTGGGATACAGCCCCTCTCCTACCCTGGGCGGGGGACATAGAAATACGCATGTTAGACATGTTTACATATGTGCTTTATACACTCTCGTGTGTATATTTGGTAATAAAGTTTAACTACAAAAAAAAAAAGAAAGTGGAAGTGCAGCGAGTGGCCAAGTGGAGGTGACAGCAAAGCCACAGCACGAGAGAGGGACCCAGGCCCATGAACTCCCTATGGTGGCCCTGGTCCCAAGCCAGGACCCCACTCCATGTCCCTGTTTGCTGACTGCTCTTACTCTTTGAAAATTAATTCCTACAGTCCCCTCTCCAGGGGGATTAGGAAAAGGGAAGCAGAGCCTATTTGCACAGAAAAAAATCATTCTCTTTAGGTGGAAAATAAGATTATAGAATGTGGTGTTTAGGGCTGGGATCTGGGAAGAAGAACGGAAAGCCAGGAAACTTCACTGTTTTAAATACAGTGGACATGTCAGGGAGGGGAGGAATAAAAGGGACATGCGGGGAGAGAACAGCAAGCAAGAAGCCAGGTGGAAAACCACACGCACAGAACCCAAACAGAGGCTCCACATCGAAGTCTGCCTTTCCACAATCGTTAAAAAAAAGCTGGGTGCAGAACTATCTTTTAGGTAGAAAGGGGAGATAATAAGAACATATATTTGTGTTTATTTGTATATTCATAAAGAAACTTTGGAAGGATATAGAAGAAACTGTCAGCAGTGGTTCCTGGGCAGGCAGCAGGCTGGGAACTGACAGAATAACGCCATAAGGCTGGGTGGTTAACAGGCTTTTTAGAAGACTGCAGACATATATGTGTACATATGTACATATATGTATATGTAAAGTACATGCATTGGTATATATATATATTTATTTTTTTCCTTTTTGTCTTTTTTCGTGTCCAGCAATGGATCGCAACCCTCAGTGTCGCGCCCGTACCGGACCAGGACCGGCAACGGGATTGCAACCCTCGGTGTTGCGCCCGCACCTCACTCAGCCAGTGAGCGGGAACCGGTCTGTATGTGGGATCCAAACCCTCGGCGGGAGCGCCACCACACTCCCAAGCGGCGCACTGTAGCAGTGCGCCACCGGGCCGGACCATGCATTGGTATATTTTTGAACCATACGAATGTAATGCCTATCTTGAAAATGAAAGCCAAAAAAAACACAAAACCATGCCCCAATCTCTCCTTCCTCCCCCCTCCAAGGAAAAACCCACTCAAACTTTCTTCCTTGGTTCCTTTACTGAGAAACATTTCTTTCCTTAAAGGAAGGCTACAAATTAGTAGTGAATTTGGCTCCAAAATGCTGTATCTTAAGGAAATTATTGTAAAAGTTTTTTGAAGTTACCGAGTGTATTAAGATAATGCTATAACATTAAATTATACAAATTGTGTTTAGAGATAAGAATGAACAGAACATATTTAGAGACACTATGTACTCAGAGAGCTCAGATTAAGGAATGCTAGACTTTCTTGTTCAGTTTTTTTTTTCATTACTGTACATAATTATATCCATATCCCTCCAAACCAATGTAAGATCATTTCTAAGCTCTCCTTTTAAGAATAAGAAATTCAAATAAATTGAAAAAAGAAAGGAAGATACAACAATCACAATAACAAGTTGAACTTTCAAAAGGAGAGAACAGAACTGAGACCACCAGAGGTGGGAAAGGGGGGGGGGTGTCAGCAGGAAACTGGTAAAGGGGCACAAAAAGTGGTTACATTGTATAATGTTAAACATACTAGTTATCCTGATTTGAGCATCACATATTGCACCCTGGTATGGATATTCAATGCTGTACCCCATAGATATGTACAATCGATTATGTTAAAAAAAAAGAATGAGAAATTCCCCAGGAAGACTCTTGCTGGCCTAGGGGAACACCCCCTGGTACATCCTGTGATCTGTGACCCACCACTGCAGCCTCATGGGACTGCCTGCTGAGTCCCCTTGGTGGATAGGAGTAGGGGAGTCCTCGCACCCTGGGGCTACTATCCTCATTTTGGACAACTACCCTAATAAGCGCGATGAAAACTTTAAGCTCCCTTTCAGCTCTAAAATTCCATACTACTTCCCTCCAAAGCCAAGGGTAAAAAACAACTCACATACACAAAGAAGAAATTTAACAGCATACATTGCATGGCTACTAACTGTCATTTTTCACTAGAGTAAAACAAGTCAGAAATGTGACAGAATGCAGCCCCACCTTCTCTCTGTAGATTCAGGTTGGGACAGCGATATCGGCTTCCCAAGCTGAGAGCTCCACAGCTCCCCGCCTCACCTATGGGTCCATGCGGCCAGGCACGCCCAAGGGCCACTGGCGTCCACAGCACCCGCCTCGCACGTACAGACATGTGACCCGTGCTATAGATTCTAGACAACATTGGGGCATTAAAACTCAGTGGTTTCCCCCAAGCAAGTGGAGATGATGGTGGGAAAACTGCACTCACAGGGTCAATGCCAAGAGGATAAGGGCCTTGGAACACTCCAGGAACACTCGGATCCAACTGCAAAACCCTGCTGTGCTTCACGACACTGTCGCTGTAACAAAACAAGTGAGAGGCTTACTGCAAGGAGGAGGAAGGAATCTTGGAAAAATGCTTTTTCTACCCCAAGTGTCAAGTGGTGACAGCACACTTACTTCCAAAGTACCATCTTCTTATGCTCCTGCGGAGCGTGACTGGAGCTATACATGGCAGAGACATTCCACCCAGAGCCAAAAAGGTTGACTGACTTTGAAAAGCAGTCGTTGTAGATGAGGCCTGTGTATACTGAGAACAGCCCCATCAGCAAGAGGATGTATCGACCATTAAAAAACATTCTCATGATCTGTGGAAAGAGAGCGTGATAGTCAAACACGACTGCTGGCAGAACACGTTCCCGTGCTAAAAATGGGTTTGGCACGTTCCCAGCCTCTCCTCTCACGGTTTCGCAGAAAACAACCTAATGTAGCAGACGTCCCTGCCATCCGCGTACACAGCATAGTTATCACCGAGAATGAACACTACTAACACTACCCAACCAGACATAATGAACCGAGTGTTACACTTTTACCTCCTGTGACTGCTTTAGTCTGGGATGATTTTCATTTAACACCAACAAGAGGGCAAATAAGAACATCACAAAGCCATGTCCAAAGTCTCCAAACATCACAGCAAATAAAAATGGGAAAGTGATGATGGTGAAGAGAGCTGCAGGAAAAATAAAAGGTAAGAGACTTCTCCTTTACAGCAAACGCAGAAAATCTGAATTAATTCAAACACAATGATATAATATGATCTTGACTTTCTCCACAAGCACCAAGATAGAATTGTGAGGTCACTTTTAAAACTTTATTCTTAATAAGATGATTAAAAAGTAGCAATGAGCCTATTTTACCAAACATCTGTTACATCCTTATACCAAGAAAAAGTAGCAACAACATATGAAATGCAAGGATTTACAACCTGAGCCTTCCCACCTGGATTCACTTCTCTGTAGCTGCCAACTCCATAGGCATCCACGATGTTCTGAAATCCCTCGGTGAACTTGTTGGTGCGGATGAGGGTGGGAGGTGTTTCTTTTGTTGGGATTGTGTTCATAAATGAGGGGATTGTAGCACCACTCTCTCTCTTTCGCATAAAAAAAGGAGAAAAAAATTACCACACACTATTCAACAAATCTAGGTTAGCTGCTATGGGCCAGGCTCTGGGAGTGGTTATGGTGAAGTCATTACATCACGGTAGCAGGAGGAGCAAGGGCTCGGGGAGGGCAGGGCTGCGGAATGAGAGGTGTGTGCACAGAGGTGTGAGTAGGCCTAGAGCCACTGACACAAAACTGAAAGCCTGTACTTTATCTCTCTGAGATTGTCAAGAAAGAGGAAGTTAGAGACAAATACAGTATCCCCTAATAAAAAATGAGAAAAACAGATAAGAATCATCAAAATGTCAACATTAACTGTATTTGCATGGCAAAATCATCTATCTAATTACTGATTATATAGTGTCTATAATTCTTCTGAAATATACTATGTTGATTAGTAATTTAAAAAAGCTTTTTATGGGCCGGCCTGTGGCTCACTCGGGAGAGTGTGGTGATGATAACACCAAGGCCACAGGTTCGGATCCCATATAGGGATGGCCAGTTAGCTCACTGGCTGAGCGTGGTGCTGACAACACCAAGTCAAGGGTTAAGATCCCCTTACCGGTCATCTTTTAAAAAAAATAATAAATAAAAATAAAAAAGCTTTTTATAACAGAAAAGTAGATTTTCCCGTAAAATTAAATTTCTTAAAACACACACATGGTAAGGGGGTTCTGGGAAAATTCCCAGCAGTGGCAGTTTTGGATCTCCCTGCATCCCCCTGAGAAGGCGGTGCACCTAGACAGCAAAACAAAAAACCCTCAGACAATGTTTGCAGAAAAACTACGTCCCCACAGACACCAAAATGCAAATGGGTGGGATAACCACCGATAGCTGTGAGACCTGCATAATGGCCCCTGGACCACAGGAGGCATGGGAAGCTATGTAGCCTCTGAGAGACCAGAGAAAAGGACACCCAAAAGAGCCAGAAAGTATTCCCTGGAAAGCACAGTAAGCCAACCCAAGAAAAGCAGCCAGACCAGGGAAGGATTCTGTCCAGTCCAAGAGCGGGTGCAACTCACAGAAGTGACCAGCCAGGGCTCTCCCCACCAAGGGGGCCCCATGCTGAGGAAACCTGCTGGGAGGGAAATCAAGATTAAGCAGGACAGGGACAAAACAAAGCAGGAAAGAGAAGGTCCAGATAAAAGAGACAGAGAGGAAATCTCAGATCCAGGAGTTGACATGTTTTTATCAGAAAAGAAAATATCTATGGAGCTTGGAAAGCTGTGCTGAACCTTCCTCCTTCTAAGAGTTTCATGAGTACCTTAAACATGTTCCAGAAAACTAATTTCATTTAAAAGTGAACAAGAGAAGGATGGAGGTCAAATCTCATACAAAGTTATAACAACAAAACAGTCTAAAGAGCAGAATAACATCCGTATGGACAGTGAGAACACACCAGAAAGACTGCCCACAAAACAGGTGAAAATGGCAACTTACTGTTTCAAAATGACCTGAAAGAATTAAAAAAATAATACAAGACAGAAAACAGCACCATAAATCAGAATAAGGAGGACTCAGAAATGAGATAACAGAACTCAGGAAGGAATTATAAAGAAAAAAGGAAAAACCTTATTTCAGAATGAGCCAAAATGGGAAAGAACTCACAATGCCATCAGAGAAACAGAAGGTGGGAAGACAGGAAATTTTTACATATCAAAAAGAAGAGAAGAAAGACAAAAGGATTCAAGGGAAGGGGACAGATACTGAAGATAAGCAGAGACGTTCAACCTGAAGAAAACAGGAGGTCCTGAAGAAGAAAACCAAAGCAGGAGAATGGAACAATACTAACAACAATAACTCAGGAGGACTTTCTGAAATTAAAAAAACAACAGAAGACTACATATTAAAAGAATACACTGCTGGGCCGGCCCGTGGCTCACTCGGGAGAGTGCGGCGCTGATAACACCGAGGCCACGGGTTCAGATCCTATATAGGGATGGCCGGTTTGCTCACTGGGTGAGGGTGGTGCTGACAACACCAAATCAAGGGTTAAGATCCCCTTACCTGTCATCTTTAAAAAAAAAAAAATGGGCCGGCCCGGTGGCGCACTGGATAGTGCGCCGCTTGGGAAGCGCGGCGGCACTCCCGCCGGAGGGTTCGGATCCCACATGCAGACCGGTTCCTGCTCACTGGCTGAGCGAGGAGCGGGAGCAACACCAAGGGTTGCGATCCCGTTGCCGGTCCCCGGTCCAGTACGGGGGCAACACTGAGGGTTGCGATCCGTTGCCGGACACGGAAAAAGACAAAAAGACAAAAAAAAAAAAAAAAAAAAAAAAAAAGAATACACTGCATATCTGAGAACACCAACCCCGAATGACCACATCAAGACATATTCTAGGAAAATTATCGGTCTTTAAAGAAAAAGAAAAAAATCCCTTGTGCATCTGGGCAAATAAAAAGCACATCACTCATAAGGAAAAGAAAATGAGATAAACATGAGGCTTTTTGTCAGCAAAACTGTGCCCAAACAAAATGGAGTAACACATTCAAGATACTCATAGGGGAGAAAAATTGAGCCAAGAATTTTTTTTCCAGAAAAACTAACTTCCAATTATAAAGGCAGCAAACAGACACCATGATTGACATGTGAGAATTCTGGGAATACTGTTCTCCTGAGCCCCCCGTCTCCTGAGGAATCTCTAGGGAACAAGCTTCTGACAGCCACATGACTGAGATGTGGCTATGAGAACGGGTGGCCTGCAGGTGGAAGCTCCGACTCCCAGGTGAGCCTGGTGCCCACGCTGTGCGCCCCAGCAAATGCAATCTGGCACCCTCCAGACACAAGGCCTCCGTCATGAGCCAAAGGTGCCCGAGGAGCTTGTGGCGCAGTGTGGTGAGCTGGTTTTCACCAACACTAGAAAGGGTTTTAACTGCCTGGTTACATCCATGAAAGGCAGCCTTTTTCAAGAAAAGTAACAATGTGAGGACAAATGAAAAGCAACAGAAGAAAGAGAAGGAAGGGACAGATGGAGGAATATGGGCCAAGGGAGCTCAAAACCCCTACAGTGGAAGCCTCAGTATCAGGACCTGGAGGTGGAACAAGGAAGAGCCACGCAGGAGGCCAAATGGTGACCAACACCTTCACTGGGAACTTGCAAGAGACACCAACAGCGTATGCATGCAGGAGGTGGCAGGAACAGCAACTTGGGCAATTTCTGAACTGGACACAGCAACCTTAAAAGTTAAAAAGCAGCACGCACGCTTGCAAGAGACACCAACAGCGTATGCATGCAGGAGGTGGCAGGAACAGCAACTTGGGCAATATCTGAACTGGACACAGCAACCTTAAAAGTTAAAAAGCAGCACGCACGCACACACACACACATGCACAAACACCACATCACTCCCTCAAAACTGACATTACCTCAGTAAATAAGATTCATCTGTATTTATCTTTAAAACAGATAACTGTACTCTAAAATCACAAAATAGTATTTACATGTTGTCTGCTTTCTCAGCATTGGGTATTTTACATTTGTGTCATAACCGACATTAGATTTTACATTTGCACCGAGCTCCTGCAGAAAGCGCCCTGTGCTCCCAAACTGGGGCAGTAGGGGGCCCAAGGGCTTCAGCCACACACCTCCTGACACCTGCATCCAGCCCAGCAACAACCGAGTCACCACTGGAAGACACCTGGTCTCCCCTGCCTGAATAAGGGAAGTGGCACAGGACTCAACCACACCCCTCTTCCTCCTCCTCCCATGCTATTTCCCTTTCCCTTCCCTTCTCCCCCTCCCCCACAACTGCTTTGCAACATCTTGGAATGTAAAAAAATAATATTAATGAATAAATTTTTTAAAATAAATAAATAAGGAGTCTGGAGGGGGGAAAAAGATTTTACATTTGTATCATCACAGAATTATGTAATAAGACAAGGTGATTAACAAAAAAAAACCCAAAATAACTTGTTCTCTTAACTGTTAAGAACTGAGTTTCAATGTAGGAAAAAAACTCACTGAAACATACAAGAATTACTTTACAGCCTTGGAGTGAGAAAAGCCTACAATTCAAAATCTAGAAGCCCTAAGAGCAAGGATGGATAAGTTCAACTATATTTAACAAAAACTTCTTCATGACCCAAACAAACAAGAATGCCATAAGTCAAAAGACAAGTGACAAACTCGAGAAAATATTCTTACTCATATCACAGACAAGAAGCCAACAGAAATTAGCAAGGAAACGAAAAACCCAACAGAAAATGGGCAAATGGAATGAACAGGCAGTTCACAAAAATAGAAAATTCAAAAGGCTCTTAAACATAGAAAAAGGTATTCAACTCCACTCATAATAAAAGAAATGTGATGGCTGGCAATTTCTGTGGAAACTGATCCAGCAATTCCATTTCTGGGAATTTATCCTACAAATAAATTTGTACATGTACAAAACATCAGAGGTCAAGTGTTATTCACTGCAATGGTATTTATGAAATTGGAAACTAGCTAAATGAGTAGGGAATTAGTTAAGTAAACCATGGTACCTGCATACAACAGAATATTACATAGTTATTTTTTAAAACGGAAGTTTCATTAAGTCAAAAGAACAGTATAAACAGCACATAATCTTTTGTGAAGGGACAGAGAAATATCTATTCATATCTGCTTATCAATGATTAAGAAACCGAAAGACACAGCAGATCTAAAACAATGGTTATCTCTGAGTAGAGGAAGTGGACCAAGGAGGTTAGGAGATAGGAGGAAGCCACTTTGCTGTGTCTTTTGTACTTTTTTATATTCCTTGTTACTTTTAAACCATGGGAATGTATTACTTATTCAAAAGAGCGATTTCAAAATGCCATGCACACAAACACATCCGCAAATGGCCAGCTCTCCCTAATGTCAGGTCACAAGAGGGGTCAACCCAGCGCCTGCTCCCTGGCCTGTGAAATCCCATTTCCTCCTTTCTGGGGTGTCAGGGCTCTGCAGTCTCCCCAAACTGCTGGCCGAGGAGAGGAGGTGCCTTACCGAGCCTTCCTCCAGCGCACGGCGCAGGTCATGCAGGTCAGCCTCAGGACACCAGACCTCGGCAATGAGGCACTTGTTGGTCACGTCAAAGCTGCACATGTTCAGCATGTGGTAAATAGCCTTCATCTTCCTCACCTGGATGACGCGGCTGTAGACCGTCTCAGCAGCCTTACAGAGCACTTGCCTTAGGTAATCCTCAGTTTTGTGAAGCACCTGGGGAAGAGCACGTGTGGGCTGGCAGCGTCGGGCACGACTCATTTTTGTCCTTCTGGCACCTGACTTCCTTCAGGGAAGTTACTCCCCAGTGATGGAGGGTCATTCCAGGCATCTGCCTCTCAGGGTGGCAGTTAAGGGGGCCATTCATTCCTTCACCTCCCCGATCCCAGGTCCAGCCGGGGTCAGGCAGAAAACTTAAATGCAGCCAATCATGTGGCCCCTCTTGGGAGGCTGCCTCCAGAGAACATGGCCCCAGGGACACAGGAGACGGTCAGACCTCATCTATCTCGGTCCAGGGAGCTCCCTGGGTTCTCCTTCCCCATTCCCCAGCTTGGCCAGTCCCCTGTCAACCCTGTGAGCCACCAACCCACCTCATCCCACTCTGCCCAGAAATCCCCTTTTGCTCAAATGAGTCAGAATCTGCTTCTTGCCACTTGCCACCAAGACCCCCTCACTGGCATCAGGAGAAACCTCCACTTAAATAGTACAGGTAAAATAATACCCACCATCTTAAATAGGATTACTTGTCCTTTGTGATCAGGAATGACAATCCAACATATCAAAGATGACCAAACAATCTTTTTTTAATGTCCCATCACTACTACCTAAGCTTCCAACAGGCTGCTAAAATGAAACTTCATGAAGAGCAGGTAGGGAAGTAACATTTCAATCTCACTAAAACATCCTGATTTGTCTACAACCAAAATTAACCACATTAAAAAAGTAGTTGGATTTGTAAATGTTTCACATCCCTCAGGTAAGAAGGCAGCAGTTTCCAGGTCACTCACAGTATAAAGATCTTGAATCCGAGTGTTTAGTCCCTCCTGAATCTCTCTTCGCTCCTCAGCCGTATTTGGATAGGGGTAGACATGGCAGTGGTAACTAGAAGACAGAATGAAACATAGTCCCACATATGTCAGGACTAGAAGGTGCTATATCTAACACTAGAACTAAATTCCATTCACCACCCAGGCCTATCTCCTTCCAACATGGAATAAAAGCAGACTTCTGGGAGAAAAAGGTGCAGACATGGGTACCTGCCCATGGTAAGACCTTGCACACAGACACTCAACAAATATCTGCTGAATTAAACAGATTTAGCAAGCTCTTTCCAGGATCCAAATCCTACTTCTGCCCTCAATGATTCCTGGAAGCTCATTCTCAATTCCAACTTTCTGAAATTCACCAACATCCTTGGGCTAGGAATCATTAAACAGGTTTAAATAAAACACAAAATCAAAGACAAATCACACACATACACAAAAATAAAAGGAAAAAAGAGATGTCTCCTCGCAGCTGCCTCTAACAGGTTCTCCCATCTCCCTGGCTTCACAGAGCCAATGTCTGCACAGGGGCCACTTGACACCCAGACCACACAGGGAAGCTGAGCTGTGTCTCTCAAACTGCAGTCACTCTCATACCACCTTAACATGTTAATACCATACTTACAATTTTTCTTTAAGTTCTGACTCTGAAAAATTTAATACCTACTCTGGCCTTATCCTTAGCAATGACACCTGTGAAATCATGGGTTGCTGACTGGGTATAGTTTTTCTAATCTATGTCAACAGATATATATTTAGTAAAACAATAAAAGGTTTATCCAGGTGACACCTAAAATTACTTTCTATACCACCAATGAATGAGAACTAAACACAGATAAACAGAAAATATCCAGGCCTTACCCTGCATGCAAAAACCAAGGCAATCTAAAATCTCCATTGGTATAAGAAAGCGAAGGGCTTTGAGTTTTTTGTTTGGCTTTTGCTTATGTTTCCGTTTGTTGACAGGAAGAACTCACAGACAGGTTTTTGTCGCAGCACTACTCAGCACTTACTGACAGCCTATGTCATACTAACACCTCACAGCTGCGCCATCTCGTTTAGTCCTAACAGCCCCATGAGAAAGGGATTGCTATCCCCTTTCACAGATGAGGAAACTGAGGCTTGGTCAGTTGTCCAAGTTAGCCCATGGAGGGAGTGGCAAAGCAAGGCTCCTCGTCCAGGCAGGGCCACCCAGGGTCCATTCGTCCCCACATACCATGCCCCCCAACTCATGGTGCCCAGGAGAAAAGATGCACCATGGGCTACTGATGACAGATGAGCTGTCGTGTGGCTGACAGCAATCGGAAGGCGCAAAGAATTAAAACCTAATTCCTTCTCAATTGATCTGAAGCCTGATTCCCAAGGGAAAAAAAACCAAATCCGGAACATTATTAACACTGTCACTACTTTTAAGTTATTCTAAATAATACACTGGCAAAAGAGATGACAAATCTCTTTGCCCCTACCATACTTCACTTGACTATACAGGAATATTTAAGGAAAACTAGAAGTTACTGAATATAAGGAAAGAGATTAAATGAAATGTTTCTTTTTCTTACCAATCACATATCTTCTTAACCTTGTGGCCAATCTGCTCTCCCCAAAAGGATATTAAAAACACATACCATTTTATGACTTCCCCCTGGAAAGAACAAATAAGGATAACTGTTACTTCTGTGTACATGACTTCTAAATCCTTGGCAGCTCAAACACTGTCAGTTTTAGTTCATTCATTCATTCAATACAGACGATCCTCATTATTTGCAAATTCACCTATGTGCTAAAATAACCCCAAAATCAATACATGTAGTGCTTTCACAATCATGTGCAAAGCAGAAAAAAATTTTAGGCACTCAACACCCTCGTTCCCAAGGCCCAGCAAGGCGACACTCTGCCTTCTCATTTCAGTTCTCACGCTGTAAACAAGTGCCCTTTACGTGGTCTATTTAGTGCCATGTTTTTCACAATTTTGTGCTTTTTGCTGGCAATTTTTCTATTTAACATAGCCCCCAAGTGCAGTGCTGTCTAGTGTTCCTGAGCACAAGAAAGCTGTGACGTGCCTTATGGAGAAAATACGTGTGTTCAATGAGCTTCATTCAGGCATGAATTATAGTACTGTTGGCCATGAGCTGAATGTGAATGAATCAACAACATATATTAAATAAGGTGTCTACACAGTAACACAAATAAAACAAGGTTATGTATTGATCAGGTGACATAATGTGACCAGAGGCTCACAGGAACCCAACCCTGTATTTCCTCTAGGAAAATGGTGCAGTATTCACTACTCAGTGTTCTCAGTAACTTTATAGAACATAACTACTGCAAATAACAAGAGTCAAGTATATTTACAAATATTCAGCAAAACAGAATTCTACAAAAAACTGAATAGGTTTCAGGTACCATTGTGGACACCAGGGACATGGCAGTGAACAAAAGAGATAAAAGTCCCCGACCCAGAAGGGGAGGGAACATCTATTCACATTGACAGCGAGAAATGCAAAGAAAATGTATAACACGCTGGATGGAGAAAGTGTGATGAGGAAAATAAGGCTGGCAGAGGAAACAGGAGGGCGGGTGCTATGATCTCAAACAGGGTGGCAAGGAAGGCCTCCCAGAGAAGGAGCGTAAAGAAGTAAAGGAGGGAGCGAACCGCACCAACACTGGAGGAAGAGCCCTCTGAGCAAAAGGAAAAGCACAAGCAGAAGCAAGTTCAGGAGAAGCATAGGATGAAGTGGGACAGCCAGGCTGAGAGCAGTAACAGAGACGGTCAGAGACATGACGAGGGCCCATGGCCCACTGTAGTGGAAAAGCACAAGCAGAAGCAAGTTCAGGAGAAGCATAGGATGAAGTGGGACAGCCAGGCTGTTACAGCCAGTAACAGAGACGGTCAGAGACATGACGAGGGCCCATGGCCCACTGTAGTGCGTGGGTCTTTTTGCTGTGTGAGACAGGAAGCCACGGGTCTTAAGTAAAGGAAAGACATGATCTGACTATAGCTGCACAGGGATCACTCTGGATGTTGGGAGCAGGAGAGACCGGAGTGCGGCAGGGCAGGAGCTCAGGCAGGAGGTGAGTCCCGGGTTGGTAATGATCCCTGGACCAGGACAGTGGTAGAGGAGGTGAGGAGAAGTGGCCAGACTCTTTGTATTTAAAAGACAGGTCGCCAGATCTGGTGATGGACTGAAGTATGAGAAAAAAGGAGAGTCAGGATAACCCCAAGGTTTCTGGCCTGAGCAGTTAGAAAGATGGAGTTGCCATGTACTGAGATGGAGGGTCTGGAAGGGGACTTTGGGGGGAAAGATCAGGAGTTCAGCTCTAGGCATAAGGTGGAAATGTCTTTCGGATATTTAAAAGAAAATATGGAGTGGACAATTCAATTTAAAAGTCTGGTGTTCGGGGGAGATCCAAACTACAGATACACATTTTGGGGATGGTATTTAAAACCAAGAAATTATATGAGATCCCTAAGGGCAGAGAGAAGAGAGAAGCTGTCCAAGAACTGAGCCCTGAGGGCACAGAGAGCAGGGGACAGGTTGGGGAACTACAGCAAAGCCCAGACAGGTGGCCCCAAAGCCAAGGACACAGGGCAGTGTGAGGAAGAACCAGCTGACTCTTGAAAGAAGAGAAAGGTTGGAGAAAGGTTGGGAGAAAGACTGCACTCAATGAATAAGTAAATTAACTGAGCACTCATTCAATATATTGAGGATGGTGGGAGCCAGACTCCACACCATCGGATAAGAGTTAAAAACACAGAAAAAGAGAAGTCTGGTAAGAACTGATTAGAACTGAAGGTTACAGTTTGAACACGTGGCTTAATAACATACATGTGGATTGCTATAGAAACTGTTAAGGGGTATGTGTGCACATATGCTGTGACTGCCGAGGAGGCCTAGAAGCAATGACGCTGCAGGATGAAACAAACACTCAAGCACCAGATCATCATTTCTGAATCCCACCTACGTTAAAAGGGACCAGGGCTCCTTGGAGAAATGGGTGATTCCAGGGCTGAGGCAGGGAAAGCGCAGGATGAAGCTAGAACATCCTGTGGTGCCAGAAAATAAGGGACTACTCCATTTATGATGAAGACATGCCAAAGGACACAGGAACATGCATGACAGGACTCCCAGTGGTCAGGTCAGAGACAACATGGGCATCAAAATTAGTAAGAACAGTAAGAGACTACTTAATTTAATGAAATAGGCACCCAAGAGTCTATGGTGATATAAATAAATGGGTGAATGAATGAGGGAGAAGGGAAAGTTCCCCTTATGTAGAACAATAATTAAGAAATACAGAAAGAAGGATAGGACAATTGGTGAAATCTGAGTAGGATATGAGGCTCACAATGTAGGACCGTATCTACATTCATTTCCTGACTTTGAAGGCCACATAGTGGCAATGCAGGAGAAAGTCCTTGATTTTAGGAACTACACACGGAAGTGTTCCAGGACACTAGTCATCAGGTCAGCAACTCACTCTCAAATGGTTCAGGAGGAAAACGTTCTTTGCACTGTACCTCCAACTTTGCCGTAAGTCTGCCACTGTTAAAAGGGATCATGACATTTACTCACTGTTTCAGGGTCTTCAAGGGACTCGTCCAGTTCTGCATAGGTCACGATGGTGTACCCTTTGCAGACCCTCCACAACATTTTTTCAAATGCTTCAACTTTTCCTTGATTAATTAGGCCAGACACAAACCTAAGAGACAATAAAGACAACCTAGTCAATTAAAAGCAATGAATATCATCAAACTGCATTAAAAGAATGATAACAACCTCTGTGTCTGGAAAGATGATGAAGATATCCTGAAAGCCCTCCAAGTGCCAAACATCTCGAATGCTAGGTAAAATATTTTTGAAATGTTCTTTTAAATGTATAGCTGAGCCTATAAGAAAGAAAAATTCTTAGAATCCAAAAATAAAACAGGATGTCATGGCTGTCCTGATGTAAAATACTGTCTCAGTATCTTCAGACCCCGAGTTTAATGCCAGCATGGGAGACAGGAGACAGGCACAAGCCCAGACAAAGTGAGGAGATGGAACGGAATCCCCCCCTGAAGTTGAGGACTTCTCCATATCCAAAGGGCTACACCTTCGGCGAATGGGTGGACTAGAAAGAAATCCACCTTGCAGAGGAGCCTACAAGTAAACTTTTATTTCAGTTTTGGTTCTGGATGGAGGGAGGAAGTCTTCTCTGAGAATTTATAACCATAGGCTAGAATTGACTTGGGTTTGTGACAAATTCGTATTACTTGCATAGTCAAAAACCAAACCAACAAACAAAAAATCCCATGCTGAGAGACATATGCAACTGATTCCAGGTTGGCAGAGCACTCCCAGATACCTGATGGATATAAACATAAAGTCCTCTCTGGAGGAACACATCCTTAAACTAAATCCCATGCTGAGAGACATATGCAACTGATTCCAGGTTGGCAGAGCACTCCCAGATACCTGATAGATATAAACATAAAGTCCTCTCTGGAGGAACACATCCTTAAACTAAACATCACTGCATTCCTTCAGATAAGGAACTGAGAAAGGTAAGTTCATCTTAACAATACTTCAGTATTAAAAAATAGAAACAGAAATTTGTAAAACAAATCATTGAGTTGATGGAAACTTGCATTCAAACAAATCACTTAACATACTACATTCATTACTTCTGCTGTGCCTTATGAAAACTATAAAGCAGTAATCACTGTTTATAATGATGTCATAACCACCAATCAAACAGGTAAACCCAATGACTGCTTTCTACTCATATCATTGTATAATTCTCAAGTCTACTCATACACCAAATGTTAAATGACTTCCTCCCAGATAAACAAACAGAACAGCCATCAATGGAATGGCCTCAGTTGCACAGTAATAATTGTTTTAAAAGAGCTATAAAGAGCTCTAGCTTATTTCTCAGTGTGATGAACTAGCAAATAATTAGCCTCAGCCTGAAACCTCAGTGGATAATTCACAGGGGAATGCTAATAAATACCAGCAAGTGTCCTCACAGGGGGAGCTGTATCTCCAACATACAAGCCAGTGAACTCAGGGTGAAACAATTCTGTTTGCTGCCACCTGTAACAACCTACTTTCTATAGTATCTTCTGAAACTTAGAAGGGGGAGGGTCAGGGTGAACTTGGGAAGAATGTTAAGGCATAGCCTCAATTACTCCAAGAAAAGGCATGCTAAGGCATGGATGATCCTAGGATGAACTGTCTGAAACATGACATGACGATGAACAAGATTTGATGACCAAAGTCAACACAGCAGAGTAATTCAGCTCAACAAGGACAGGAGCACAGTGTTTTCTTAAACAAATATTCACTTTCATTCAATCGTGGGCTGTGAAATGGTCCCCATTCACCCATCTGCAGAGCTCATCTTCCTCTTCTAAGAAGGGCAGAATGACACTTGAAGCCCCATCCTTACCACCTACCCCAGTTTTGCTCCCAGCCTCTGCATACAGCTGTAGTCCAACAAAGAATCATTCTCTAAGGCAGGGAATTCTTCATAAGTGGGTTCAAACTAGAAAGAGATATATAAAACCAAGCATGTCTCATTAAAAGTGACACTTTGTCATGTCATATTTCCAAACAAGTTTATACAGCATCATAACTACCTACTTAGACCTGGACACAAAGGCCCCAAGATAACTTAGACATATAATTCAGCTCTCGTAAATAAAAAATAATTCCCCATACCTTATTTTTAAGCCACTTGAAGACAATTACATACAAGAGCTATAATTTAAGGCATCGCCTTCATCCAAGATAGAATAACTTTATCAGAGGCAACCTATGTCAAGTGAAACTAAGTTTGAAGGTATGTACTTCTCCTTCCTTACTCAGCTTAGCCTTTCATTAAAAGCACAAAAATTGGGCCGGCCCGGTGGCGCACTGCTACAGTGCGCCGCTTGGGGGTGCGGTGGCCCTCCCGCCGAGGGTTCGGATCCCACATACAGACCGGTTCCCGCTCACTGGCTGAGCGAGGTGTGGGGGCAACACCGAGGGTTGCGATCCCGTTGCCGGTCCCGGTCCGGGCGCAACACTGAGGGTTGCGATCCGTTGCCGGACACGAAAAAAAACAAAAAGGAAAAAAAAAAAAAAAAGCACAAAAATTTTGCTTGTTCCAACTGACTTATAGGTCATTTTTTGCAACCTTGTTTCCAAAGATCTGCAAAATAATGCTGCCTAGAGAGATCCACATGCAGTGGAAAAATAAACCATAATCTGGATAAACATTTTCTGAAATCATTGCAATTTTTTTCATTTCTAAAATTCGAGTTAAAGAACTTCTGAGTCACAGCTGTCTGCACCTGTAGAAGGAAGCAGAAGGTTAGGGATACACTTGAAAGTGCAGAAATAACCCAAGGGATAGACCTGTAATAGTCCCCACAAGAGACTACAATGTGACTTCCCTGAAGACGCCCTTAGGCAGAGATGGGCATCCACCATGAAAATCAAGACCTCTACCAGCAAAAGTGCCCCTGAGAGACAGGGCAGAAAGCCAGGCTCTCCTGCAAGTCCCCAGTTAGCCCTGATGCTGTGACTCGGGACAACTCGCACTCTTGCTTCGCTACGGAAATTAAAAGCTAGATTCATGAAACTAACAGTACACCAGCCAAAATTAATTTACTTTCTCTAGTTTATATTTTCAATTCCATGAAGGATCCTTTTCCTTATGATAAATGTCACAACATTAGGTAAAGTCATTACCAGACATAGTATTTTGGAGAAGTGTTACTAGTTAGTTTATTTTAAGTAGGTAGTTAGGTAAGAAGGAAAGAAGGAAAGTAGGTAAATAGATAGGTAAGGCAGGGAGGGAGGGAGGAAAGAAGGAGAAGAAAGAAGGAAGGGAAAGAGAAAAGCAACTATGTCTTTAACAAGACAGCAAAGGAAGCACTGGGTTTAAGAGGTTTCTAGAAATGAATGCAAATTGTTTTAACCAATTTATACCTAAATACACTGGATAGTTCCTTTTTTATTTTTTAAGTATCCATTCTTTTTGAAACAGTTTAAGCTACAGGAGATCCTGGAAATGTCTAAAATGCTATCACTTTTGCCCTGCCTTTAAAAACTTCATTCCAAATATACCACCTGTCCAATGACTCATATGTTGCAAAGACAAGAATATGACATCATGCTAATACAACCTACANCATACCTTATTTTTAAGCCACTTGAAGACAATTACATACAAGAGCTATAATTTAAGGCATCACCTTCATCCAAGATAGAATAACTTTATCAGAGGCAACCTACGTCAAGTGAAACTAAGTTTGAAGGTATGTACTTCTCCTTCCTTACTCAGCTTAGCAAAGTCCTATGACACAGACCATTCTTTATTTTTATAAATTTTTTTACTTCCTTTATTCTTGGCAGTTTGGAAAAACTGAGTGAGTTTTTAGAGTTCTGTTTCCACTATTCAATTTTTTATCACCATCATGAAAAGATTTTTCAACTACAAACTATAAAGCATTTTACAAATACGAAGTATGGTTATGCTAAAACCAACAACAAGAAAAAGCTCTTAAAGCATTTTTTTAATGTCACATAATCCAACTGAAAAAAAAATAAAGCTAAGATCTAAATTTATCTCCTAAGGCTGGCCGGTTAAGTCAGTTGGTTAGAGCACAGCCTTATAACCCCAAGATCACAGGTTCAGTTCCACTTACCGGCCAGCCACCAAAATAAATAAATAAATAGATAGATTTATCTCTTAAAAAAAGCAATACATCTAAATGAATTAATAACAAAACCCACAACCTTATGGGAATGAGATTTTAATAAAAGGAATGTATTTCCTGACATGAGCCATTCAGTACCTCAACATTTCGTTTCACAAAGGTTTTTGTCACCCTCAGCATGTGAGTATACTCAATCAGTTCCAGCAGATTTTTCCTCAGTTTCTCCTTGTTCTTAGTGACTTCTCTTAGTTCAACCTCGAGCTTCTGCAACTGCTCCTACATAAAAAAAACAGCAACTTAAGAGCATGGATTAGTTCCACATGTGTCCTAATAACCTTTTCATGGCATAACAAAACGAGTGGAGGACTTAAAAAGCCAGAAAGTTAGTTTGGTAGAGATATGAAAACATGCAAAGATTTTAAAGGTCCCTCATTTATTGTTTCATATGAATTCTGTTAATTTCTGTGAAGTCCACACCACAGATGATATGAAACATTCTGGAGGCTGTGAGGTCCCTGAGTACTCGAAGACACTTCTCTAACCTGAGGTCCTGGCATTTCTTTCAGTTTTTCTTCCTCTGCTTATTCATTATCAGACATCAAAGAACCTGCCTCTTATAGACTACATTTCCTTTTATTTGCAACACAGAAAAATGTTTAAATAACCTTTTCTAATGCATATTTTCTTAATCTCTAGCTTAACAGTTTCTATGCATTCTTACTTACACAATTAATTGAGCATAAAAATTCCTGAGAATAAATCTTATTTAATAATTAGTTACATCCTAAGCATCCTTAACAATACTTCAGTATTAAAAAATAGAAACAGAAATTTGTAAAACAAATCATTGAGTTGATGGAAACTTGCATTCAAACAAATCACTTAACATACTACATTCATTACTTCTGCTGTGCCTTATGAAAACTATAAAGCAGTAATCACTGTTTATAATGATGTCATAACCACCAATCAAACAGGTAAACCCAATGACTGCTTTCTACTCATATCATTGTATAATTCTCAAGTCTACTCATACACCAAATGTTAAATGACTTCCTCCCAGATAAACAAACAGAACAGCCATCAATGGAATGGCCTCAGTTGCACAGTAATAATTGTTTTAAAAGAGCTATAAAGAGCTCTAGCTTATTTCTCAGTGTGATGAACTAGCAAATAATTAGCCTCAGCCTGAAACCTCAGTGGATAATTCACAGGGGAATGCTAATAAATACCAGCAAGTGTCCTCACAGGGGGAGCTGTATCTCCAACATACAAGCCAGTGAACTCAGGGTGAAACAATTCTGTTTGCTGCCACCTGTAACAACCTACTTTCTATAGTATCTTCTGAAACTTAGAAGGGGGAGGGTCAGGGTGAACTTGGGAAGAATGTTAAGGCATAGCCTCAATTACTCCAAGAAAAGGCATGCTAAGGCATGGATGATCCTAGGATGAACTGTCTGAAACATGACATGACGATGAACAAGATTTGATGACCTGACTCTCATTAGCCTCTGTTCACCACCACCCGAAAAGGGAGTACATGTCTTACACTGAAAAGCAAACTGAATTACAGTTAAAACTGACCACAGATAATCTATGACTGAAGGTTAACCATAACATTGTTCTTTAATTTTCATTCCACGGATTTGAGAAGGCAGAAAAGCATTAGACAATATAAAATACATACGTAAGCAGCCCCTGAGATCAATGCTTAAAACAGCTTCTGCAGAAGCAAGTTACCTGCATTTCTAGAACCTGTTTAAGAGGTGGCGCAGGAGGACTGGCCTCTCCCTCAGGAAGGGGGATATCAGCTCTATTAATTTCCTGCACCAAATACACTGTGAAGATAAAAGTGAAACAAGTTAGATACAAAACTTACTATCATACATTTCAGTCAGAACATTTTAAATCCCAACCTTTCATTAAAAGCACAAAAATTGGGCCGGCCCGGTGGCGCACTGCTACAGTGCGCCGCTTGGGGGTGCGGTGGCCCTCCCGCCGAGGGTTCGGATCCCACATACAGACCGGTTCCCGCTCACTGG